AATTAGCATCAATAATATATTCAGGGCTGGGGATTTAGCTCAGTGGTGCCATATCTGCCTCGCAAGGGCAAGGTCCTGAGTTCGATCCCCAGTACCCCCCTCAAAAAAAATTCAATTTAACATAAATATACAATATATTATCATTTAACATGTAACCAATATTTAAAGAATTATTAGCAAAACATTTTACATCCCCTTTGCACTAATTCTTAGAAAGCCACTGCATATTTTTCTACTCATAGAATACCTCAATTTAATTAGCCACCTTTGGCTAGTGGCTACCATCTTGGGCAGAGGAGTCCTATACTGTCACACTATTGATAAATTACATTGCCCACAACCCCTGCCATGTTGCAGTGCTGGGGATTGAACCCAGAGCCTTACTGTGCACCTCTACCACTGAGCTACATCCCTAGCCCTCTCTCTCTTCCTTTGAAAAGCTTGAAGAAGGCCAGGGATTTGGCTCAGTGGTTCTGCCACTTGCCTCGCAAGCATAAGGTTATGACTTTGATCCCTGGTACCAAAAAGGGGCGGGGGGAGTGTGAATAAAAAGCTTTTGATATTTCTGATCAAACAAAACAACAGTGATGGAGGGGGAAGTTATACACACTAGACAAGTGAAAAATAAAGGGAAAAGACTGATGGTTACATGTACATGAAAGGGCTGATACCTTCTTAATTCGTTCATGACTTTAAAAGCTTTCTTCATGTGCCAAGGATTCACTGTCACTGGGCAGTGTTTTTCAGTATTATCATCTTTTGAATCGAGAGGCTTCTGATGACCCTGCTTTGTGCATCTGTACATAAAAGGAACAAAAAAAACAGAAAAAGATCTTATTAAAGATAATTTATCACCAGCTTATCACACTACAGGAGACAAATCGAATGCCTTCCTCCTCTTCTCATTTAAAGGAAGTCTCCCAGAAAAGCCCATTGTAAGATTAAAACAACTTGTACACTTTCTGATGGTCACTATGGTTTCAACTATGTAGGTAATTACCTCCCTGGTGTCAAAGTTTTGCCAAAGTGAGCGCAACAAATTCAGTAAAAGTGCTTTAGTAGATACCACCAAGTAAAAATGCTGAAAATGATCTCTGGTGGAAATTAACTGGCTTTTATAATCTGATAAAGTCACATGTTATTTACAAACCAAGAGAGGAGCAGGAACATATTTTACACAAACTTCAGACATTGAGAATCTGATTCAAATTTTGCTTTCTACCTGCAAGGATATTTACCCCATGTACTTTCAGCCTACACTAATAAGAGATTTGTCACGTTCAGATATTTACCACATAACAACCATTGTGCTTAGTTTACTTTCACTATTTTCCAGTTTTTATTTTTATTAGTACATGCTTGTACTTTCATTATTTATAATCCTCACAATAACTCTGTAAGCTAATTACTATCATTATCCCCACTTAACAGATAAAGAGAATGAGGCAAAAAATAGTTTGGACAACTTGGCAAATTGAAGTTAGGTAAGACTGTACCCAATCTGACTTCCACTACTCTTCAATACCATTTCCTACACTAAACAAAGATATTTAATTTCATAGATATGTTCACCAATTGTTTTTCTGATACTGGGGATTGAACCAAGGGGAGCTCCACCACTGAGCTACACCTCCAGATGTTTTTATTTTTTAATTTTGAGACAGTATCTGTAAATTGCCCAAGCTAGCCCAAACTTGTCATCCTCCTTCCTCATCCTCTTAAGTAGCTGAAATGACAGGTATGTACCACCGTACCCAGAGAAAACTTACAATTTTCAAGAGCCCAGGGCTGTATTAGTATTAATATGAGTTGTTCTCTCAAAAGGCCAAAAAAATTGACAATATGGGAGTATGGGCTGGGGGTGGAGAATTAACTGCAAATTAATGGACAAGGAAATTTTTGAAGTGACAGTTGCACAATTCTATAAATTAACTAAAATTCACTATTTTGTACAATAATGATGGGTATATTTTACAGTATGTAAATTATATCTCAGTAATGCTATGAATTAAAAGAGAGTCAGAGCACCAAATTAAGCCTTTAAAAACCATACTTGCATATATACTATACAAAGAACACGCAAACATCAGTTCATGTCTGCACTTTCCTTTCTTTCCTACGGAATGCATCAATGACTAATACACAGATCCAGTGCTCACAGAGCTTGCCTCTCTATGGGATGGGAGAAGACAAATCAGTAAAGCAGATGTCGTGTTAGCAAATGAAAACACTATAGAAAAAGAAAGAGCAGGGCAGGGGAAAGACAGCAAGAAGTGTGGGTGATAGGAGTGAAGGACTGTAACCTGCTGTATTAAACAAAGTGATCAGGGAAGGCCAAATTGAGAACTGAGATTTGAACCAAAGCCTAGGCATGGGAGAGTGTCTGGAGGAAAGGAATCGCTGGAACATCCTGGGAACTGGGAGACCCGTGTGGCTGGTGAAAAGGGCTGGGTGTGAGGGGCAGAACAGGGAGCACTCTGTGGGGCCTTTCAGGACACCCTCAAGACTTTGACTTTTACCTTCACGGGAATGGGGAGCCACAATCCCGCTTGTGTTTTCAAAGATCCTTTGGTTGCTAGTTGAGGACAGTCTATATGGACCAAGACGAAAAGGGGGAAACTATTTAGGAAGGTCATATAGAAAAGCAATAAAAGAGGAGAGCAGCCCAGAGCAGGGTAATGATAAGTGACTGGGTTCTGGATATTTTCAAGGTACAGCCAAGATTCAATGACAGAATTGTAGTCAGAATGACTCCCCCACCCCAAGCAACTGGAAGGATTGAGAAACCATTGAGATAGGGAAGGCTCCAAATGGAACAGGTTTGGGGTAGAAAGATTGAGAGCTCTGCCTTTTGTACATGTGAGTTTAAGACATCTGCCCTCCAAGTGAAGACATCAAAATAGCAGACACAAATTGGAGTCTAGAGTTAAACAGAAAGACCTAGAGATAGAAACTTGAGAATCAATGGTTACATAGACAGTAAATGAAGTCAATAAATTCAGGTATTCAGCATCAAGGTAATACCAAAGTTAAGCCCAGAAGCTATCTTTACTTGACCCCTCAACCCTAGAATTAACACTGGTTGCTAACACCTGATTCTTGGCTTACTGGAAGTAACATCAATTTTACTGCCCACCACTAGAGGGCTTAATGGGGGCCTAACAACTGAGTTCACCCAAGGCACTGCCCCTAGAAAGTCCACAGCTGGAATGGGACAATGAGGAAGTGGCCACTACAAACCATGAACTTTCGAGGTATGCGCTTAGTGGATGAGTTAAGGAAGTCAAGTCTGCAAGTCTGGAAACCAAAAAGGGAAAGACTATTTATATCTGGGGGTGGGGTCTGGGGAAACACTTTATAGGACCTGACACATATTCTCACTGTAAAGCAAATAGTAGGAATCCAGGGAAAGGAGAAATTGCATAGGTGTAAGCTTCTGGCCAGGTAACAATGAATGCCTACACAACAGCAAAATGATATTCATCAACATCTGTTTCTAGTTTAGTAATTTAGGGTCTAAAACAGAGGAAAGATATTATACTAAGAACTAGCAAAACTCTCACAGAAGAATGTTTGACGCATAGAGTAGAAGCAAAAGCAACTCTGCTGAAAAGAATACTGTCACTTAAGAGTCAAGTGTTTATGTTTGCTTAAGAAATTAAGAATTAAAACTCTGGGCATGCTAGAATTAATTTTAAGGTAGTTACCATACAACAATTAATTCCCGTATCAGTGCCCTCCTAAAGGTATTGTCAGCCCCTGCTTTTTCTGATGTACTCCAGAGAGTCTGAAAAGAAAAAAAGACTTTATTCAAAAACTTAAAAGAGTAAGTAAGAAAGAGCACTGAATTTTCTTTTAAGTGTTCCTTGTACTGAGAGCCGCTTAGAAATGCAGAACCCCTGCTGCATTCATAGGTCTATTTTCAACAATGATGCCCTTTCCATAATTTCCCATTTCCTATGCGGCTTTGGGTTAGAGGCCTCTCATTCAGAAGCAGAACTGAGTAACAGAAAATGACGCATCATGTCTAAAACTACAGATGTGAGAAACGAACGTATACTAGGAACACGCAAGCTAAGGGGGAGGTAAAGGTTTACCATTTAAGTCAGGCCACACAAACCCAGAGTTACATCTTTTCCCTGATTCCCTTCCGATGTAAAGTGAAAGCCTTAAAAAAGCTTCTCATTCTGAGAACTGTCTTCCCTAAAATATCAAAAGGATGCACTTTTTCAAAGTTCTTTCACTTTGGAAGTTTTTCCCCCAACTCTATATTCCACAACTAGTCTTGCAATTATCCAATAGCCTAACGTTACTCTTAAAAAGTTGAGATTTCTGAGGGTCTGGACTCCAGTGCACTGCTCTGCTTTATAGAAGATTCCTGGCTGTGACAAGGGTTGGCTTCTCAGCCGAGAAGACTGTCACTCTGCCTGGGAACACACCACTGACAATAACTAAATTCTCAGAGAGGAGGAAAATTAATAGTCTAACAGGTTGTCTCCCTCAAGCAGTCAAGATTTCATAAACTGCCAAAGGTTAAACCTACCGTGATAATTTTTTAAAGACTATAACTGATTTGATGAAAACAAAGAGAACAAGATGAGGCACAGACCTGCAATAATTTTTTCTGAGGACACTAGGAATGAAGTATAATTTCTTTAGCTATTTATTACTTGTTTTGGGATAGTAATTTTCAGTGGAGGGGAATAATTCAAGCAATTTCTTCAGACTAAACATAACCACTCCCTCTCACATGAAGAGTCAGACAAGCCTTTTTAGGACTGGGTGTATCAGGATGATAGCGTCTCCAAGGGTAGGGGTGAAAGGCAGCTATGTATGATTTTTAAAACCACAAAAAATAAGTGATGTAATATACTCCACCACCCCCTTACCTCTCACCCTAGGACAAGCAGCACAGACTGAGAGCAAACACTTCAGAAAATACCAGTTGTTTATAGGTTTTCTGGTGGAAACAATGCTCCAATTCATGGAAATGGTCCGGCTACAAAATTTAACAGGGACCAGGGGCATTTTCACATTCAGGACATAAGTACTTGGCCCCTGGATGGCCACCATCTCTGCTCTCCCCTCTGCCTGTTCCCCTCAAAAGCTGCAAGACTCCCCTGCTTGCAATGAGTCACCCACCATTACTCACTGATTTCTGCCAAGTTCGCGTCAGCAGCTGTTGTTTTCAAAGTCACCATCCATGCTGTACTGCTTTGAAGTTTCTGCATTACTTTATAATATTTCTCCTATTTTCTCTGTTGTCTTCCCAGCTGATGTGCATACAGAAAGTAGCATCTTACTAACACTGTGCTGAGCACAAGTCTGGGATATCTGAAGTAGATACTGCACCACCACTAGTATCTTAACAGGTATCTGTCATGTTACCTTATGGTTTCCCAACAAAATGCTCACACGTCCTTCACTTCAACCAAATAACCGCAGCGCTTAGAGGTTATGAGGACTCTGTTTTTCTGACTGGACACACATTTTGGTTGATGCTAGGATTGTAGCTTCAGTTGCTACAACTACCTAAAGGCAAAAAAGTCACACTCTAAATTTTCAAGTATATGGAATTCAAACATTTTTAGGCACAGAGCTAGTAGACAATTTATAATTTACAAATATACAGTCATATTAGCAAATAAATACAGCTTTTTAAAAAAAGAAAGTCCATGTCTATATTGTGGCGATGAAGCTTGGACTGAGCTGCGGGTGCACACTCAACACGCACAAGACCCCAGATCCAACCCCAGCACCACATAAAAGAAAAACAGACCTTGGATTTTATCTTTAGTATGCAGACCCCTTTAATTGAATATGAAGCATCTCGGAAAATAAAAACTGTGTATCCCGCATCAAATCACAGAACATCTCACAGACAGATCATAATGCCACTGAATACATTAGTTGTGATACATAAATTGTTAAGAAGTTATATTTCTGAATTCCTAGCCGCAAAGCAAACATGTAGAAAAGCCAGAAATGTTCAACTTCACTAAAATGGATTGGCGTTAAAAAGCAGAGCCCCTGGAGGGCAGAGGGGAGGTGCTGTACGAGCTCCCTCTCCACCCCAGGGACTGGAGCGGGTGGGGAAGCCCTGGCAGGAGGTGGTAGCTGGATGTCTGAGGTGCAGAGGGTGATGGAAGTTCAGCAGAACTGCTCTCTGATAGTAGAACAATAGAGCTGTAAAAAGCTCTGCTTCGGTTCAGCTCAGCTCTCTCTCTCCCTCTCCCTCCCACCTACGTGACAAACAGAGCACAATCAGGCACTTTTTGTCCCCGACAGTGACTATTATGGGGAAAGGGACCAGGGTAAAAGCATGCCTTATGCAAATCAATCTTTTAAAGAATATCTTACAAACAATTAACAAAGCTCTGTCAGTGGAATAATGTGAGGTGTTAAAACAGGGAAAAGGAGGAGGATGATCCACTTCAAGTATTTCTGGGCCTTTTATCAGTCATACTTCTAATGCTCACTTACTTGGGCAGCACATGTGGTAAAGGTCTCCTGATCTTTTGCCTCTTTTCCTATTATTGCCATCACCTGGTTGGTAAGAAGGGCGCAGTATCACATGGCAATTCAGCTGCTGGGCTACTTTTATAGCAAATGGATGAGGAGGTACTAGAAGAGAGGCAGAATCAGATGGAAGAACTAAACTGTAATCCTGCTCAAGCCAAATACTAAACAAGTGATCCTGGAGTAGTTACTCAGCCTCACTGGGCTTCAAACTATTTATAAAAATGGATTTCACAAATATGTCTCATGTAAAACGCAGTACAAAAATCAAAGGTAACAACCCCTCACCTACTTACCACAGGGAACTGTGTAAGAATTAAACACTATATGAATGTAAACATAAAATTAAGAAAAATGTTCAGGTTAAGGGCTAAACTCAATATGGAGATATAATTGTTATTGATTCTACTGGCTGCCTTTAATCTTAATTGCAACTTTCAATTCAAGGCTATTGGCAACAGTGAAAATGACCACAGTTGTTAAAACATGAAATATAACAAGTGCTGCTAGATGCCCACTGCAAGCCTTGGACTCGGCAGGGGAAGGGATGTGAGAGAGGCTGACTCAGGGTCTTTCTTCAGTTACCTAGCTTTAACTGAGAAAACATGTCCAAAAACACCACAGAACGGCACATGTCAGTCCACACATGCAGGATTATGGGCTACAATTATAAATTTTATTGAAAAGGAATAATGAGCCAGAATGAGTTGGCATAAACAGGAAATACTTGTAAAGAAGACGGGGCTCCAACTGGACCCTGGGGGAACTCTGAGTTGTTTTAAATGGAAACAGGAGACCCCTACCTTATGATAAGGCAAGCTCAAAACTGCAGACTAAAGCACAGACCCGAGTGCAGATTTAAAATACAGGTGGAGCTATGATGTACAGATTAAAAGACTGAAAGAAGGATTGGCCAACGCCTACCCTGTGGCTGCCACCATGAAAAGTAGTACAAGAGAAAGTACACACAACCGAAAAGACAGAGAGAGATTAGTGTCCCAATTTTTCAATACTTATAAGCGTGGGAGAATAACCGCCTCAATTTGCTCTGCTGAAAATAATAAAAGACCTGTATGGTAAGACTGATGATATGGCTAAGTGAAGTAATGAAGTATGTAAGCCACATTTAGCAACCAAAGGAGAAAACCAAGAAGAAGTGGTGTTGTGGAAAGCAAGGGCTTGTTTTTTGTTTTTGATTTTGTTTTTGTTTTTTTTGGTTTTTTTTTGAGACAGGGTCTCACTGTGTAGTTGAGACCGACCCAGAACTTTCTATGTAGCCCAGGCTGGTCTCGAACTCACAGCGATCCTCCTGCCTCAGTCCCGAGTGCTGGGATTGCAGGCATGAGCCACCACACCCAGCCAAGGGCTTGTTTTTGAAGGAGAATCAGTGAAAGGGACTAGTTAAAGGAATACTTTAGCAAACAGAGAAAGTGCAGCATCTAATTCTCGGGAAAGCACACTGATCCACTGACGGGCGCAGTCACCTCGGAGGGGTGGACTGCGAGGCCTGGCATTTGCCTTCCTCGCCACAGGGACACCGTCTGTCCCCCTGGGTTCACCACAGCAAGAGCACCCTGACCCCTTCTGAACCCTGGCTCTTTTTCCCTCATTCTCTGTACCCTTGCCTGCTTCATTTTCCTTTTTAGTACTTGGTACCACCAATATTGTTCTATATTTATCTTCCAAGTCTCAAACATGAGGGAAAGGGCTTTGTTTTCTGAGAAAGTCCCCCAAACTGGCCAAAAGCAGGCACTCAATAAATATGAATAAAAACCTGAATGCCTCATTATAAATAGTAAATAAATTTGGAATTTGGTAGATCACAACAGAAAAGCACCTGAAAGGCAAGTTTTCTTCCTCTGTATCACTCTGAAAGAAACTTCTGCCTGATCTTAGAAAAGAAGTTCTACACCACACCAGAATTCTGATATACACTGAATGCCTGCAGTGTGCAATACAAAATGTGAGCCAGAAACAAGAAGTCTGGGCTTTTTTAGGGAGCCCAGGGATACATTCCCAGTATTAGAAATTTTTAAAACTACTATGTAAATGTTACCTATTTCCAGATTCCCCTTTTCGAGTGCACAAACCCACGTTCAAAGTGTCCCTAGAAAGTACACATCCTTCAACACTTACTGATCCATATGTCTTCTTTCCCCATCACGCATGGGCCATTATTGCTCCTAAATATTGTATTTAAAACATCTCAGCCTATTTCAAAAAGATTTGCCTAGGAGATCAGATGCCCAATCTAATTTAGAATTAATTAAACAAAATCAAGAATGTGTATTCTTGTATTTTACAAATGACAAACAAGTACTGGGGTAAACCATACCAAATCAATTCATGGTAATTCAATCTACATTGAACACTAAAAGTCATAGTTCCAGTCACAGTTCCACTTTTTACTTATCTGTGACAAAATAAGGACAATGCAACAAGTTCTCATAAAACTAAATTTATTCCATTTAAGAGCCATCCTTTACTCAGAGATTATATCCTTCCTTATATATAAGGAGAGATATTAAAATGCCCTCCAAAAAGGTGATAATAATTGCTAGTTATTATTTTATCAATAATTATTTTACCTGGCAAAACAAGAAATTTAATAATCCTCAGTTGGATTCTAACAATTCTGTGTTTTTCTTGTGTGTGTGTATGTGTGTGTGTGTGTGTGTGTGTGTGTGTGTGTGTGTGTGTGGTACTGGGGATCAAATTCAAGACCTTGTACTTGGGAGGCAGGTGGGGCACCACTGAACTACATCCCCAGCCTAGTTTTTCTTTTTTTAAAACAAGACAATAAAATTCAAAAAATCAGAGAAACTCTGCTCTAATCCAACCAATCTGCTGCTGCCTAAATCCCTCAGCGCATGGCCAACAAGTGGTTCGCCCATGGTTGAACGCCTCTGATGACAAGGGCCTCTGGTGATGTGGGATCAGGGACTGCAAAGCAGATACGTCTGTGTCAGAGGCAGTTTGTTTGGCACTGTGATGGAAAAGCAAAACAGCAAGACCTGCAAAAAGCAAACCAATTTGTGAGAAAGGAGTGAGCAAGAAAAGAGCCAAGAAAATGGTTCAAGAAAGGGAGGTCAAAGGGATGCACTGAGTCTTACACCTTGCAGTTTTTCTTCAACACAATAATTCTGAAAATCCTTTGCACAAATAACTATAAAAGGTGGAATGTGTACAACATGCCTAAGGTCAGGGCTGATCAGTTTATACTTCCTTTTACACGGCTCAGTTTACTACCTGAAACTCCCTTACTGATGGACATCTCATTTTAGTTCAGGTTTGACCAGAAGCAAATGTCACATGGTCTTCTCATCACCCAGATCCCAAAATGCAAAAAAATCCCAACCCCACGTGTATTCAATGATGCAAAAAACAAGAACCAGAACTATAAAGTCCAAGAATGAGCAGTATGAGAATTGTAAGGGGTTGGAGAGAACTTGGTAAAGAGTAGAAAAGCACAAGAGATGAAAAGCATGTCGAGGAGGTCTGCCTGAGGAAAGAGGAATCCTGAGCAGCCACCAGACACCCCTCCAGGAAATGGGCAAACAGGCTAAAGGGGAGCAAGCAAGGAGGACTGGAGAACAATAACTGTTTGGCTGTTAAAAATTAATTGTTTTATTAAAAAGCACAGGAAGCCGGGTGTGGTTGCACACCCTTTTAGATACACCAGAAGCTGAAGGAGGTGGATTGCTGGAGCATAGGAGTTTGAGCCCAGTTGGGGAAACGAAGCGGGTCCCCATCTTTTTAAAGAGGTCACAAACAAAAGCACCCATACACAGTGTCAGGCAGAGACAGACATTCAAATATTTGCAGACTGAATTAAGTTAATAAACAAGACCTCACACAAAGAGAATTCCGAGTCTGTTTCCAACCATATCACCCCAACACACTTTAAGTCCAGGTTAAACAAACATATTTCTTTGCCTTAAAGCTCAAGCTAAAGAAGCCAGCCTAATACAAAGCTGACTGCTCTCAATAACTTCACTGCCTCTGTTCAAGCCAGCTCCAGCGAGCAGGGTGGGATGAAGCCCCTTCCCAAGACATCTCCTGCATTTCTCAAATCCAACACCCTCATCCAGGCAGGAAGGAAGTTCATGGGGGTGGAGGCAAACTGGCCAGAGGGTGGGAAGGAAAAGACTATTTCTGATATACAGGGAGACAAATAACACTACAATAAGTTTTGGAATTAAGGTTAATTCTGCATAGGCCAAATGAAAATAAAATCGATTTGTATTTTTAAATACACGGGTTCAGACAATGAAAAAGCATCAGGTACTTCAGTCAGGTTCAGTAATCCTTCATCAATGCTGGTGTGCCAGGTTTTCCCGTCTATCTCAAGCTTTCATTGTTCCAGCACCATGGAGTCTCAATACCAGAGAATCGTGCCAAACATCCAAATTGTGATTCATTGATCTGCCTAGATTCAGCTTATCACTATTAGCACGCACATACCCATTTCATTTTTTACTTCAATTTAAATCATATTCTGTGTCTTTGCTCCCTCCTGAGCCCGCTTTTCCACACCCTTCTTTTCGGCTGTATCCTAAGATTCCCTTGTTTTGCTCGAGTTCACTTTGCTCCAAAAGTAAAAAGAGACTGCAGAACACTGATACACAAGAGAGCGGTTTACTACAGACCCATCCTCCATGTTATCTGTTATATGTGACATGCTGTCTATATGCAGAGTCCCCACGCTGCTGTAAGAAGTCTCATGCCTGTTCATGCTGCTGAAGCTAACAATCCACCATCATGCCTCCTAGGGGTTCAGGAGCCCTTCCCCAAGCTGCTGAAGAACAGAAGCAGATCACAGAGCCTCAAAGTCACACACAGCAATCAAGAAGCGGCTGAGTCTTTGTGCTCTTGTCTATCAGCCCAGGAGGGGAAACAAGTTTTACAGTCTACTCCTCCGCCCCATGACCTGTTCCACTCAAGCTCAAAATTCTGTAATGCACTTTAAAAAATTGTAGTTCCAGAATCCCATTCGTTTTCCTAAAAGGATTCAACGTCAAAAAAAAAATTTTAGCCAAACCAAATACCCATATTTTGGCTGGAATTCTGCCAGTAACCCCAAGAGGCTGGTGCAGTACAATCGCTAAGGATTGAAGCTGGCTGGCCATATCTAACAGTAAAATGGTAAGGCTTCATGAATAAAGAAATACCATTTTTGAAAACGAGCTTTTTCTGCAGCTGGAAAAGTCAGATTCAAAAGGCTCTTTTTCCTTTCTAAAGGTTAAACTAAGGAAAGCAGGTCAAAACTGA